ACGCAGCCGACACTCAGCCGACACTCAGCCGACACGCAGCCGACACTCAACCGACACTCTCCGACCCACAGGGGAGCAACCGCAATCATCAACACTGTTGTTGTTGTTGTTGTCGTCGTTGTTGTTGATGTTGTTGTTGTTGTTGTTGTTGTTTTGAAGGGGAGGGTGTTCCTCGTTCTTGTTGTTGTTGTCGCTGTTGCTGTTGTTGTTGTTGTTGTTGTTGTTGTTGTTGTTTGGGGGGAGGGTGTTCCTCGTTTTTGTTGTTGCTATTGTTGTTGTTGTTGTTGTCGTTGTTGTTGTTGTTGTTGTTGTTGTTGTTGTTGTTTGGGGGGAGGGTGTTCCTCGTTTTTGTTGTTGTTGTTGTTGTTGTTGTTGTTGTTGTTGTTGTTGTTGTTGTTGTTTTGAGGGGGAGGGTGTTCCTCGTTGTTGTTGTTTTTTAAAAATTGAAACTGTTTCTTCTTGTTTTCTATTAGCTTTACAAAGAGAAAAACAGAGAGAATGTTCTCTCCGTCCAACCTTGCGTCAGTGTGTAGTTTGTAACTTATGTCATGCGCGCGCGCTTGTGTGTGTGTGTGTGTGTGTGTGTCTGTCTGTGTGTGTGTGCGCTTGTGTGTGTGTTTGTGTATGTGTATGTGTTTGTGTGTGTATGTGTTTGTGTATGTGTATGTGTTTGTGTGTGTGTGTGTGTGCTCGACTGTGTGTGCCTGTTGGTTAACACGCGGGCCCTTGAGTCAGGGTGCGTTTGATGGTCTCTTCTCTGTTTAATTCTTCACAGAAAGCCTGCTAAAGTCCAAGATAAACCACGCACTCAATGATCAAACCACCAGTATCACAAGTCTTTGGTTTCCAGCAAACAAACAGCGAAATGCAGCACACACGCGCACACAAAGAACGCTACGCTTAGAAAAAATAAATTTCCACTTCTACATGTTTGACTGAGCATATCGTTCATTATAATGCAAATCCTTATTCTCGAAGCGAAGCTCGTCGTTTTTGTCTGAGGCCTACTGCTTCTCTCTCAACTCTCAACACAAGAGTGAAATGAGTAGAGCTGGGCGAAGAATCGATTCCGGAACCAGTTCCCACGATTAATGCTACGGAAGAAAAGTTCCGACTCCTTTATACGTATACCAATGGTTACCAGTTACTTTAATCATCAAAATCTTCTCTTTTTTAGAATTTATCTTAAAAAAGAAAAATTGACATTTCGTAGTGTTCCGAAATCAAGGTTATCCTAAATCCTGAAGATGTTCGGAGCCAATCAGGTAACCACCGGAAGAAATCACATCATTAGATAGTAATTAATTGGGTTCGGAGTCGATTCCTACGATTCCTAGCTTTCAATAATCGCGAACCTCGCCGCCCAGCGCTAGAAATGAGCCGCAGTGTGGACGTAGCGTGTGAAACATCCTGGTACAGTCTTACTTCATCGCACACTTGAACAGACTATAGATGGAGAGTCACAGGACCCACAGAGCTAGAAACAGATACAGACGGCGCACAGTTGGAGTTCGTTAATTGTTTGAGGTTTAAAAGATTTTAGTAAGGTTTTACAGCGTTCGCAAATGCATAAAGTCATATGAGCGCCAAGGGGTGGGTGTCAACAGAGAAGTCTAAACTGGGAATCAGGCTTACTCTGCTCACCTCTCTAGCCTCAACAGCACAAAGTCTGATTCGACTATCAAGGCACCCCAGAAAAAACAGTTCACAAGAGAGTGACAAACATTCAAAAGAAGTAGAGGAAAAATGTCGATAGTAAGGATGGGGAAAGAAAAAGCGGCAGTTCCACTACTGTTGTTTCGGCACAGTATGAGCATGACATTGATAAAATAAATCAGTCCGTTTACAATTCTACTGTGCAAGGGAACATGTTAATAC